ACATATGCATCCCGTGTATAACATTGATTACCATATAAAAATCATTTTGTTCTCTTACAAAGTTTTCTTGAGAAACTTCATTCTTTACATCTTCTTTACTGTCTTTTTACAAAAGTAATACATATTGAGTTAGAAAACTTAGAAAATATGGATAATGAAAAAGTTAAAAATTGCTACCCCCTATTTATAGCAGCTATTACCATTTGATTTGATGATAAATATAAATTTATATTATACATATAAATATAAATTTTCTTTTCTGTAGCCTGGTTTTCTTCACTTAACAATGTATTGGAGATGCTTTTCCCAGTTATTACATGTACTTCCAAAATATTTTAAAAGACTCATAGTGTTCCATTTTATGTTAGCAAGATATTTTTAAAAACTAGTCCTTTATCTTTTAGAATTATGCCTTATAAAATTATCATTTGTAAAATATATACACTTCCTGTATATGTATTGAATAAAATTGAACTTAAAAAAAGAACAGTATGCCTGTAATCCCAGCACTTTGGGAGGCCGAGGCAGGCAGATCACAAGGTCAGGAGTTCGAGATCAACCTGGCCAATATGGTGAAACCGTGTCTTTACTAAAAATACAAAAATTAGCTGGATATGGTGGCATGTGCCTGTAGACCCAGTTACTCAGGATGCTGAGGCAGAAGAATCGCTTGAACCTGGGAGGCGGAGGTTGCAGTGAGCCGATATTGAGTCATTGCACTCCAGTGTGGGCAACAAAGCAAGACTCTGTCTTAAGACAAACAAACAAACAACACTATTTTCTGTCTTTTTGTTATTTCATATAATGCAATAATAACCATCCTTGTATACAAATACGTATCCACATCATAGATTATTTCCTTTATGTGGATTCCTGTAAGTAGAGTTGTGAAAACCCCAAACAGAAATGTTTTTAAATATCTTTTATGATTATTTCCAAATAGTTGTCTGGAAAATTTATTCCAGTACCATTTCTCACCAGCACATTTTGACTATTTCAAACACTTCAAGCTTTATATATTTTTTTATTAATTATTAACTTTAAAAATCTTTGCTTTTTTAATGTGAAAATATTTTTAAAGAGTTATTTATGTTTTAATTACTTTAATTATTATGCTGTTTTCCATATACTGATAGTGGTGTTTATATTTCTTTTGTTGCTAATTATTTAATTACCTATTTTTCTACTTGGCTCCAATGCTTTTCACCTTATTTGGAGAATCTCCATTAAGTTTAACTTTCATTACATCTGTGAAATGTTATTTTTTTTTAGCTCTTTATTATTTGATGTCTAAAGGATATCTTGGCATCCAGAAACTTCAATCATTACATACTTAATTTTTAAATTTGTGTTAATGTCATTTCCTCTATTGCATTTGACTGATAAGTCACCCCCACCTCATATTGTTGGCACTTTTCATTAAAAACTAATTTATATTCTAGCCAAAATATGTTTTAACCTATGATATGAAATGTGAATCTGACTTTACATTTTTAAACAACCGTTAGCCATATAACCAGTCCAAGTATGCTTGTCTCATTAAAGTTAATTGGAATCAGGAGATGTGCCTTTTATTTTAGTATTTTATGAAGCTAAAATCATGTATAAAGAAGTGTTTTCTTCTACTTCTAACTTTGCATTCATTCATGCTTAAGCACAAGATGGCGGCTCGTTTTATGTTATATGCTTGCATCATTAAACAAAATACTACACAGATTTTATTTCTTCCTAATTATTGGTAAACTTTCCCTTTACTCTCATTTTTTATGGGCCAGTTTTGCCAATTATAACATAGATTGCTTGTGGATGGATGTGTCTAAAGGATATTTATATCTGTGCACAGCTAATTCTAGGCACAGATCTAATGTCAAAATAATCAGCATATATCCTGTCCCTTGCCTCTCTTCACAAGTTTCAGATTCTGTTGCAGGGAGCAAAAATAGAGCCTCTTTTTCTTCTGCAATGACAATACAAGTGAGATGATGGAGTGTTCAATTAGCAGTGCTAGTGGTGCTGCTTCCCCAGCTAAACAGCAAGAGGCTTTTGAAGCCCTTGTGTTTCCTGCTCAATTTCATTCTCTCTGATAACATTTTTAACTGCCTGAAGAATCCTTTTTATTTCAGGGCATTCTTTCTACACCTTATTAGTTGGGCAATATTTCAGCTAAATCCCATAGATGTCAGCTTTGTTGGCACATAGAGTAACATTTAAGTGTTATGCATAGCACATTTCTCCAGTCCATCTTTACCGCTTCTATCTTTGAATCCGTTCAGTTAGGGCAAACAGACTACCAAGTGTGGGAGAAATTCTTGCCCCAGTCCTTCCCAGAGCTCACTCCAGACCTGCTGTCTTCCTGGAGAGGAAGATTTCAAAGGTCAGAGATGGAAGTTGAATTGTCACTTTCCTTGAAATATGCCATATTGACAGCAAGTGTGGTAATTAACAGAAAATAAGGAATGCAGACACAGCACTGGGACTCATGGTAGAATCCATTCTTTAACTCTGCCAGTACCATAGGGAGTACAGAAGAATGCTGGGTTTGCATTTGGAAGTTTTGAGTCTGAGAAGAGGCTCTGCCACTTAACTAATTATAAAGGTTAACTAACTCTTCAACTCTCAGCCTCAGTTTCCTCATTTTTTTCAAATGGATAGTGTAAGAATAAAATGAGATAACATGTGAAAGTGTTTTGTAACCCAAAGGATTGTACAAAATATAACGACTTGTTATTCTTCTTACTCTTCAGAGAATGCAAACAATGAGAGAAGAAGAGAAGTTTATTTGTAGACCTTTTCTAGGAAGGCTTGCAGATAGAGTGTAAGGAGGATGAGAGAAACAGGGCGAGATAAGAATCACAGATGGCTGGTCATCCTGGAGACTAAGGCTTAATGCATGGCCTGCAGAACCTGGTCACAACATTTAGAACTTTATTTTGCTCGAAATAAGTACTGTGAGAAGATGTTATTTTCTTGCTGAGTGAATGAGTACTGAAATTCAAGTCTTTAGGAATAAGTTCATATATTAATCTATTTTTCCATCCATCTATTCATCCATTTATTTATACAGATGATCAATATGCATTTTGTGCTGATTCTGCATAATATACTACGTTAAGCTCTATGATTGCAAACATGAAGAAAACAAGGTTTCTGCTTTGGAGAAGCTCAAAATCCAGAAGAGGAGATGTCTAGCAATTGCAGATGTGGTTGTTCTCTTTTCCTTAAATAATCAAAATCTCAAAAGAAGGCCAGATAAATAAAACTAAACGTAGTCTCTAAAATCACTCTAGATACTTGGATAAAAATTTAAAGGCTATTCTGTACCATATTGAGAGGCCCCTGACTATGCTCTATTGTTTCTGATATCACGCAGTTTCATTTTTTTGTCATGTGACTAGCATGTAATTCCTATTTTAAAATTTTCAGCCGGGTGCAGTGGCTCACGCCTGTAATCCCAGCACTTTGGGAGGCTGAGTTGTGTGGATCACGAGGTCAAGAGATGGAGACCATCCTGGTCAACATGGAGAAACCCCGTCTCTACTAAAAATACAAAAAATTAGCTGGGCATGGTGGCGCGTGCCTGTAATCCCAGCTACTCAGGAGGCTGAGGCAGGAGAATTGCTTGAATCCAGGAGGCGGAGGTTGCGGTGAGCCGAGATTGTGCCATTGTACTCCAGCCTGGGCAACAAGACCGAAACTCCGTCTCAAAAATATATATATATAAAAAATAAAAATAAAAACTTTCAGATGTATTTAAACATTTTTTCTATAGAGTCAAAACCAATCCACTGTCTGAAATAATTGTGCTTGAGCATCTTTTAGTAAATAGGTCCAGTTACTAGATTCAATAAGAGTCTGGTGAAATAAGACTAAAACAGGACCTTCCAAAATATATGCGTAGAGGACAGGCTAACGATTTAGTTTCCATTCCAACATTTCCTTTGAGAATATGTTCAACATTAACTTAATAGGGCTGAAGGAAACTCGAGTAAGGCATGTTTTGTCATGGTTTGTTACTTTCTATTTTGGGGATAGGAGTTGATCATTTTATATTTCACTAGTTATACAAAAATTCATGTGTAGAGATCTAAGTTAAACTGGCAACATATTTTAGATTTCCTGATGTGAAATTTTAATCATCTTTGTAGTTTGGTAGCTGCTCACCTGGTTTGCCCATCATGTGGCTCAGAAATGAGCCATGTATATTCTTATCTTGCTTTACCTCTCCTAAGAGTAAAATTATCACCGCTTAGGGCACAATCAGATTCAGTCTTATCTCTCTTCCACTCACTCATCCTTTTGAAATGTTTACTGAGCCACTTTAGAGTGCAGTAGACTATGCTCACCACAACCTCCGCTATTGGGTTCAAGTGATTCTCCTGCCTCAGCCTCCCAAGTAGTTGGGATTACAGGCATGTGCTACCATGCCCAGCTAATTTTGTATTTTTAGTAGAGATGGGGTTTCTCCATGTTGGTCAGGCTGATCTCTAACTCCCGACCTCAGGTGATCCGGCTGCCTTGGCCTCCCAAAGTGCTGGCATTACAGGCGTGAGCAGCCATGACCAGCCTTATCAAACTTTTAAAAGGAATTTAATAGTAGTAGGGTTTAATTTTTTTTAAGCTTGGGAGAAATTTTTGGATGACACTAGAAATTTAGCAGAATGAATTATGCAAACAAAATACTGAGGATAAAAGCCCAATCAACAAATATGACTTATGGAAATTGTTTACATGTAGGGTTTCTGAGAAACACTGAATAATGACTGTTGTATATTGAAAAAGCTGCCAAACTCATAGTAGACTAGAGAAGACAATTAGCATGACTGCAATAAAAAACAATTGCCGTCTCAGTAGAACAATGAGAATTAATTGTAGCTGTAACCTCTTGACTATCACTAACGAAAAAAGATGAAGGTGGTGCTATTGAGAAGTGGTTAAAGGATGGTCTGGTTTATGGCTACTTTCTCCCACTTCAAAGTTGTTGCTGTTGTTGTTGCTGTTGTTTTAGAAAATACACTGGCTCTGTAATGGGGAATGGGAGGAAGGGCTGTCCGGGCAGGAATGGGGTTAGGCTGTCAGAAGCGCAGCCCGCTGCGGGCTAAGTCGGCTTGGGCCTCCTGTATCTGGCTCTGCAGCTTGCGTGTGGCATCCTCGCAGTCATGAAAAGTGGCCACATGACAGCCCACAGTGTCCAGGGCATAGCAGCCGGTGGACACCAGCATGTAGGCAGGCAGTGGCCACAGGACTTCCTGGCAGGACAAGGGCAGCTCCAGGCCCAAGGCTCCCGTGGTCAGGGCCACCCAGGTGGAGCCCAGGATCGCCAGTCCCCAAAGCCACTGCACTAATTTCATCATGGTCACTCTTGGCCCCGCGTCTCCCCTTCCCCAGCGGCCCAGATGTCTCTCAAATTCTTAAAATATGTTAATATTTTAGGGCTTGGAAAGTACTGAAAACAATTTGATTTTATGTTACATAGTTTTAAATAACTTTTGTAATTTAATATGGTTTTCTGCAACTTTAAGAGAAATACAACACAGATGCAGACATATATAAAAATTGTTATGCTTGTTTAAATCACTTTTTGAACACTTGAAAGTTTTATGTAAAAATATACAAACATGCTGTTAATGATCTCATTTGAAGAAAGGAAAATATGTGAGAATTTTGCTTAAACTTTGCTTTCTAAAGTTTGAAAGCATAACTTAATATCTATTACAAATATTATATCAACTTACCAGATTACTCCCCAATTACATTCATGGAATTATACAGATTAGGTAACTATTGATCAGTGTAGATAAGCCAAGAGGCATAGACATAATTGAGCTAAAATAAAATATTTAGTCTGTTTCTTTTTGAAAAAGAAAAACAATATATTGAATGTTTTTATTTTAGCATTTATACTTACAGAAGTAATTCATTCACTTCATTAATGTATGAAAAATATTTGCATTCATGCATGCATTTCAATATGTTAGATGGGCAATTTTAGTTTTTAAAAGGAAATGGAATAAGGAGTCAAACAGCTGAAATTTCAAGTCCTATCCTCACCAGTTTAATTCACAAAATGTAAAGTTTTCTGAATTTTTGCAAGTTCATAACCTCGGTGATATAAACACACCGCATCTATGATCATAGGTGTAATAAAACTGATACTGGAGACATTGTCAAGTAAAATTTGTAAAACTTAACTATAATAGTACAAATAACATGAATTCTTAGTGATTTTGGGTACATGTAACTTTGTGAAGTGAGTTTATTGTATCAGGATGTTAATTTTTAAAAATATATAAAAATATTATTGATTAAGGTAATGAGATTTTATGGAATTAAGTAAAAATTTAAAGAAGAATTTATAAATGAGATCACTCAAAGAATCTGCACATTACCATTGTTGGTCCAGGTGCACACTAATAAGTTAAATGCCCTTAAAGAATGATAAATGTGAAATAGATATGTTAATGAAAAATTAATGTTTGTTGACAATTTCTTCAGTCATTTAAGCAATGTTTCCACTGAGAGTTTTTTTATGATGATGCAACATCTACCTCAAACATTGGAACAATTTTTTTTTTTTTTTTTGAGACAAATTCTCACTCTGTTGCCAGGCGCCAGGCTGGAGTGCAGTGGCATGATCTTGGCTCATTGCAACCTCTGCCTCCTGGGTTCAAGCAATTCTCCTGCCTCAGCCTCCCGAGTAGCTGGGAGACTACAGGCGTGCACCATCACGCCCAGCTAATTCTTGTATTTTTAGTAGAGATGGGCTTTCACCATATTGGCCAGGATGGTCTCAATCTCCTAACCTCATGATCCGCCCCCTCAGCCTCCCAAAGTGCTGGGATTACAGGCATGAGCCACCGCTCGGCCAAGGATCAAATTTTTTTAAGTCATGGATTATGTGAAGGTAACTAACCAATGATATATCTGAGATTACAATAAATTACAACTTCACGTGCTGCTTCATTTCAAGTTACATGAAGTAAGAAGGGAAGGTCAAGGAAGTTGGAAAGAATGACTGCATTTTTTTTTAAATTGCATTTTAGGTTTTGGGGTACATGTGAAGAACATGCAAGATTGTTGCATAGGTACACACATGGCAGTGTGATTTGCTGCCTTCTTCCCCATCACCTATATCTGGCATTTTTTCCCCATGCTCTCTCTCCCCAACTCCCTACCCCTGGCTGTCCCTTCCCTATTTCCCCCTACAGACCCCAGTGTGTGACGCTCCCCTCCCTGTGTCCATGTGTTCTCATTGTTCAACACCCGCCTATGAGTGAGAACCCTCATTCTCAGCAGAATGACTGCATTTTTAGTGACAATAAATACAAATTGCCTGTGTTTCAATGCAAATTTTTCTTAATAAAGATTAGTTTTAAATAACAATTTAGTAGAGTTTATATTATTCCTGAAATATGTCTTTAAAAAGTCTTAAGGAGAATTTTTTTTACAATGTTACATGATTCTTCCCACATAGTTGAGGCGAATGAAAATGTGTATCCGCAGGTCATGGGCTTTAAGATACAAATACTTTATTTCAACAGGCTCTTAATATTATGTCTTTCATATACACACCAGATAGGGAGACTGAATATGGTTCTTTATGACAAAATTAATTTTCAGAAAAATGTATAAACTTAAATTTACAAGGTATAAATTTTTCATTCCCCAAATTATAACCTTTCAGTTTTTTGTGAGGCTTGATTGTTAGAATACAGTTTTACACATAAACACTTTATAAAATATCAACTGGTAATTTCGTCTTTCTCTATCATTCTCTTCTTTGGATTACAAAGGAAAACATTATCTAACAAGCATTTGGTCTACCACCTTCTGTGTGAGGTTTACGTAACATAATTGGTTAAATACTACCTAGTTTATGTGAACTTCAAAGCCGCTAGTGAGATATGGGAACTGCTGTCTTTTCTGCTCTATCGTACCTATCTCCAAGTAATTCAGGTCCTCTTGTTATACACACTCATGGCAGAATTTTTATTTCCTTCTGTGAACTTATTTGTGTCACTATTTGATTCATGCTTCACATAGATGTGAATTATTTCTTCTTAAAACCACTGTATTTTTAAGACTCAAGTGAATGACCCATAATAGTCACTCATTGAATACACTCAAAATCACCAAATGAGTAAATATTCTCATGTGAGTTAAAATGAAATAGCCACCTAAGTATGAAAAAGAATGAGGTTTCTGACTTTTTTTT